CTTTTTAAATCCTGATTTCTGGGCCTCATTCTCCGGAAATTTTGTTTCTTTGTTATGGGGTGGGGCCACAACATTAGTAACAAAGAAACAGAATTCCGGAGGATGGAGGCCCAGAAATCAGGATTTTAAAAAGATTCCCAGGTGATTCTAATGCGCAGCCAAGGTTGAGAACCACTGCTCTAGCTGGTATGATGAAATACAAAGGAAGCTAAGATCTGAGAAAATGAAGCCCTTGACTTCCTTTTCTTCATCAGCAAATAACCTCCCCAATGTAGGAGATGGGAGATCTGTGTACGTTGTCATCTCAAAACAATAATGATAAAAAAATATCAAAATTTTGTCCAACCTTTGACCCTGCTGTTCCACATCTAGAACTGAGTCCTAAGTAAGTAACCAAGGCTATGCCCAAAGATATAAGAAGTCCCTTGGAGATTTTTTATATTAATGAAAAAAATAAAATGTGTAAAAACAACTATATGGGTTAGCTAACGTCTGGTCCATCTAAACACTGGAATATTATGCAATTATTAAAAATATTTTCAGAGGAATACTTTATTATGGAAGGAAGTTCATAATATATTGTTTAGATAGAAAAGTCAGCTTAATAAATAGAATGAATACACATATACACACATATACATATGTTTCATACATTTGCCAAGTTGGGGTAATTGTGTAATATATAGATATATATGCATTATAAGTAGCAAAAATGTATCCAAAAACTTTACCAGGGTTAACCCTTGAATTGTCTCTCTCCTCACCAGAACGTAAGCTTTATAGGACAAAGACTTGGTCTTACTCCTCACGCTGTCCTCTGCATCTAGCACAGGGCCTCACAGGTGCTGGCATCATGAGACTCTATGAATATTTTGTTGAATTAAAGAATGGGACTTTTGGTGAACTTAGTATTCTTTTACTATTTCTATTTTATAAGTCTTCACTGGTATGTACATTTGATAATAAATTTTCAAATTAAGGCAGGCCTTTTACTTGTGCTTCTGTTATTTTCATAATTAAACTGAGTGGGATCTAGCTCCCTTTACAGTTGTTTTGGATGAATCTGCAGTTGGGATTAGCCAAAAATGTGGTTTTTAAAAAATATATATATTTTTATTTTTAGAGAGAGAGGAAGGCAGCGGAAGAAAGAAATATCGATGTGAGAGCCGAACATCGGTTTAGCCAAAAATATTTTATTTGAACTTCTCCACACTCCTGGTGTGAAGAATAAGGAAATGGGAATATCTTTAACTTCAACTTCCCAGATCTTCTAACTTCCATTTTAGAAGTCATCTCAATCAGCAAAAGGAAACTTTCTATGCCTTTTGCTTTTACTGTTAATACAACAAATACTGCTGTTGCTACTGCAGCTGCTGGCTACTGAGCACTGACCATGAACTGACCATTCTGAAAAGGTTATGTCTCATTCAAACCTCAAATAACCTTGGAGGGAGGCACTGCTATCCCTCCCATTTTGCAGATGAGAGAGGTGAGGCTTGGAGAGGCCAGGCGGCTTGCCCACAGTTACACAGCTGTTCAACGGCAAGACGAGGAACTGAGCTGGGCAGCTTGACCCCAGCCCATGCTCCTCACAACCACGTTGCACTTACAAAGGGAAATACCAAGTACAGCAATGGAAGCAAATCAAGACTTGGTTATAGCTCTCCTTACATGCATTGCCTACACTCTGGTCCAGCTTTTTCTCGTTGTGCGGAGAGATAAGGAAGAAAAAAAATGAATAAGTATCCTCTTTCTTCCCCCAAAGAAAATGAGGTCTGAGAAGTTTCTATAGGTATTCGTTGGTAAAACTAGCAGAAATGTTAAGTACTAAAATGTACATGACGTGTTCTGGGTTTGGTTTTATGCAGATGTTTCTTCTCATTGTCCAGTCGTGGGAGGAGGAAAGAACACACTCCAAATCACATCTTTTGCTGCGAATAGATTTGTCAGATAACTTCAGGTAATATATTTAAAACTCAATATAATTCACATGGCAGAATATCTGCGATGGAAATGAATGATACACTCTCTATAGTCTCCACCCTATCGGCACATTAGAATAACCTGGAAAGATATTTTAAAATGCAAAGCCCAGACCACCAGGAAGTCCTGATGAGAGCCACAGCAACTCAACGACACTAAGGGGCTTCCTCCGCACTTCACGGCCTGGTCGCCGACTAGCCCTGCAGTGACGTTACTTCCTGTTCCTCAGTCTGAGCTCCTTACCTGTAAAGTGGGGATGACAAAAGTACCGGCCCAATGGGGATGAACCAAGATAGTGTGCAAAGCACTTAGGTCAGGGTCTGGGACAGGAGAACACTCCAGTGTCAGCTATTGCTGTGGTGTTAATGACGGCCATAGTGATGATGATGCCTATGTGAGCTTTTCACCTGAAGAAGGACTAACAACACATTTCTCCATCTCAAAAGGCAAGGACCCCAAACAAGATTTTATCATCTTTACCTTGAGCTCCCCTACCTGAATGAACCTCTAGAACCAAACATAATGTGTAGCTCGTTGTGGGGTAATAGGTCCCTAGAGGGGGTGCTGTGTCTCATATCTGTAGTCTACAACATGAAGGAGCTCACTCACCTGGGATTGAAATGAATTTTCTTGGGAACTTCCCTGTGGTCTGTGACCACTTTGTGGTTGTCTCTATAATTAATGGGGTCATCAGGGATCCTAAACTTGGCCATCTGAATTTCAGAGTCACTCAGTTCAGCATGAGAAATTCTTGCATAACCCAATCTGTGGCAGGAATAGAAATGGTTTGTAAAGATTTTATTGTCATTCGGAAATCTGATGAGATCTAGTAGGTAACACCTTCATTATTAAGCCAATTTCCCATTTCTAGCGCTACCCTGTGTTTCACTAGAATTATCTTGACTTGTTACTCTAAATATTTATCAACATATTACTTTTACAACATAAGTGAATAAAGAACATGCATATTGTTTAATTAACTAAACATAGTTGGCAACCTTACTCTACTTGTTTACACTAATGAATATTCTGTCTATACAAATTGCCTCTCACACAATATATTTTGGAATATACATAAAATATTCACTTTTTGACAGGAGATGATATGTATACATATTTTTTAACTATGTTTTATTGATTTTAGAGAGAAAGGAAGGGAGAGGGATAGAGAGATAGAAACATCAATCAGCTGCCTCCTGCACACCCCCTCCTGGGGATCAAGCCTGCAGCCTGGGCATGTGACCTGACCAGGAATCAAACCGGTGACTTCTTGGTTCATGGGTTGATGCTCAACCATTAAGCCACAGCAGCTGGGCTGGGATGATATATTTTTAAAGATATAATTTTTAAAGATATAAAATTTACAGAAAAATTTTAGAGACCTCACCACAATATCATAGTGGCTCTAACAAGTTAGCTGACTTACCCAAGATTACATAATTAGAAGTTGGCAAAGCCGGAATTCAAGCCCAAGGCTTTCTTATTCCATGGTCCACGCTGTTCCCACCATGCCATACAGTAAAACATGGTGCCGATCCTAACACGTGTTGACAGATACATACTTATGCTAAATAGCTTACATCGTATCCTCTTTGTATAATTAAATTTAATTTGCTTAGCCATTTATTCCTTCGTAAATCATTAGGCTATGACTTGAAAAAGATGTTAAGCTGCATAACTAACTAAATCAATGTTTATAATAAGTAACAAAATTAATTAACTGCTTCCATAAAGCTTTTCTCTCCAGGATAGACTCAAAAGATCACAGTACAGTAATAATAGATTTTAAAAAAAACAATCAAACATCTATGCTCACCTGATCAGCCCTCGATACATAATGTATTCACACCATCTGTCTTGATCCGTGCTGTCAATATCCTAATAAACAGAGAAGAGAACGTTAAAGTAGTAAAATAGTGCTCTGCTCTGAACTGCCAAGAAAATGTGTGAGCTGCAGTAATAAGCATGCCTTTGTGCATGCTGTTTTCTCTGCCTGGCTCCTGCTGGTCCTCTAAGGTCCACATTATGTATTCATTCTACAGCTATTTCTGGAGCACCTACTATATGCCCATCTAGCTCCTGTACTAGATGCTGGGAGTACACAGATGAACATGGTCTAGAGAGGGAGTTAGGCAGGGAAAGCAACGATTATAACACGTTCCTGGCTCCCTGCAGCTTTCCAGGTCTCTCAGCCTGAGGAGAAGTTACAGAACCTTCCTAGGTCATGCTACGCATGCACACCAGCTCTGCTGTTCTATACGGGTATTTGTTTCTATGTCTCCACCCTCCCTGTCCTGAGCAGGGGAACTCTAATCACTTCGGCTCTCTGGTCTTCTCTGGCATTTGGCAGGCGCTCAATCTATGTTTGTTAAATTGAATCACTGGAGATAAACACATTTTGGGAGTAATCATGAGTCTTTGGGAGGTTGAAAGCTTGAGACCAGGGTTATTTTTTTTATCAGAGAAGCAGAACATACACATATATTTTTTTCTAGTGTTACAAAAACTCTAGATATGGAGCTTTTATACTAAAGAAATTTTCATTTCCTTCTTTTTAAAAATCCTATAAATAAAAAATATACCTGACTTTTGATCATTTCTCAGTTTTACTCTTAACATTTAATTAAAAACATGTGTTTTTTAAAAAATATATTTTATTGATTTTTTACAGAGAGGAAGGGAGAGAGATAGAGAGTCAGAAACATCGATGAGAGAGAAACATCGATCAACTGCCTCTGCACATCTCCCACTGGGGATGTGCCCGCAACCCAGTTACATGCCCTTGACCGGAATCGAACCTGGGACCCTTCAGTCCGCAGGCCAACACTCTATCCACTGAGCCAAACCGGTTTCAGCTTCATTTAATTAAAAACATGTTTTTAAATCACTAAAAGAATCACTAAAACACCTATGCTCACCTGATCAGCCCTGGATACATAATGTATTCACACCATCTGTGAATTTGCAAAACAACACACAATTTATTACCTATTTCTCAATTTTTTCCATAGGCTTGGTGGTAGACATATGGATGTTTGTTAATCTTCATTATTTTCTATCACACTCTCACACACACATATATGCCTTTAGTATACACAAAAAATTGTAATAAATTTAAAATTTAAAGAAAAATGTTAGTGATTAAAAAAGCAAATAAGAAAAGGACTGTTCTGGTTTGCCTTGGGAAGCGATGAAAGTTTAGCCATTCAGCTGTGAATACTGGGAATAATAAACTGCGACTGTGCTTAGCTATCATTTTATTTTATTAGGTTTTTAAAAGATGCTATCAAATTTTAAGACTACAGAATTTAAATACTCATTTCTTAAAGAGAAAAATCTGTTCATCCAAGCATTTATGACCCAAACTCTCTGCATTAATAAACTTCCTGATACAAAAAGCTATATAAGAACCAATCTTGACACGGCTTCTGACCATTAACAGTGGAAACCAAGAGAGAATTAAAAAAAAAACCCACAACAACAACAAATAAAATTCCTCTTCTCTAACACTACCCATATACCTTACACACATACACACTCACACACATACACAGAATTCCTTCTCTTATTAGGATACAATTTTTTTTTAGACTGGCCAAATATCCCATTTTCTAACATTCTTTTGTGCTTCATAGGCCATATACTTGTATAGTTACTTTAATTTTCTATGTACAGCCAGACACACATAATACATATGTGTGGCCACCACTTGTCGAGTGCCTCCTACATACAAGGCTGAGGGTTGTGCAGACATTTGCTTATACTTCATCATTACAACCCTATGATACAACAGAAATTGCTACCCCCACTTTATATGGAGGCCCAGAAAGGTCAGCTAACTTGCCCCAAGTTCACACAACAGCACCAGCGAGGCTAGTCAATGGTAAGAGACCAACTGTACGTAGAGACAGGCCCAGCCAGCAGTCAGCAGCAAGGCCCCAGAGTGGGACTATCTTAGGATCCCCAGCCACAGCCGAGCCACCTGACAACACGAGTGAATCCAGAAAAAAACCACCACCACCAAGTCAACCCACAAAATTGTAAGAATATTAAACCAGGGCTACTTTAAGCCACTAGGTCTGAGGGGGTTTGCTGCATGGTGGTGAATAACTGGTGCAGCCTCCGTGACTCCACACTCCCCAAGTTTACCTTTTACCCTCTGGCCTCTCCTTAATCTCTTTCCAGAGATAATTTCCCTTCTCTTCCCTCATCCTTAACCCCCTGACAGCCACATACATCAGGGGTTTTCTTTGTTCTTCCTTTTGCACTTCTCTAATTCCATCAGCAATGTCATCCACTTCCATGGCTTCAATGATCACCAAGACAGTGGCCAGGCCGACATAGCTCAGTGGTTGAGCATCGACCTATGAACCAGGAGGTCATGGTTCAATTCCCGGTGAGAGGCACATGCCTGGGTTGCGGGCTCGATCCCAACATGGGGCATGCAGGAGGCAGCCGATCAATGATTCTGTCTCATCATTGATGTTTCGATCTCTCCCTCTCCCTTCCTCTCTGAAATCAATAAAAATATATTTAAAAATAAAAACAAGACCGTGGTGGTGATTCTTAATCTATACCTCTAGTCCTGATTGCCCTTCTCAATTCCTGATCCAGCTACCTATTGAGTGGCTCCATTAATATCCCACAGATGCTTCAGCTCGGCCTAACGCTGATTTCTCATCTTCTTTACAAAGTTCTTCTTTCTTACAGATTCTCTATAATAATAAGTGTTAGCATCCTGAAGCCACAATAAGGAGTCCATTGGGACTCCACTTTCTGCCGTATCCACTATGCCAGAGATGAACTCATGTTCTTAAATGTAATGTTACTTAATACATCAAATCCTATTACGATTGTGTTACCTTCACATTGCCATGTTCAATGAGCTGTCGATAATCTCTGGAACCAGGTGCCGAGGTGATATAACCCAGAAATACCACCTGATTAGAGCTACTTTTCAGGAGTTTTGAAATAGCAATAGCCTGAAGTTTCCTGTCAAGGTCATCTCTAAAAAAAACAAACACCAAAAAATGTAATTTTGTTTTGTATTTGCAAAACAACTTTTAAAAAGTCTTAAGTACTTAATTCCCCCCTCCCCCCCAAAAAAATATCTTCAAGTAGAGCACAAACCCAGAGTAATTCCTACCTAGGCAAATGTCTTAATGTTCTAGAAATGAATGAGATGGAGGGACAGTGGTGAATAACTGAGTAGGCTGACACACTTTTGACTAAGAACAACAAGGTCTTTCCCCACAAATCATTTGGAGTCAACTTGATTTAAATATCTACTCCCAGCATTTGTTAACTCTTCATCAGGAGAAATTATGTCAATAACCATCTGAGACTTGGTCATCAGTATCACAGCTAGAAACTAGTATTAAATATATATATATTTAAAGAACCAGCAGCAGCATAAGCAGCCATGGTCAGAGGGAGAATCCTAACATTCACAGAGCACGCAGGACTCATGGAACCTACTCAGCTCTCTCAAGCAAACACCTAAAAGTAAGCATGATACAGTATTTTCATGATGCAAAGCACTGTTAGTTATAACTGAGATAATTAGGCAAGGACAGCAAGCTTTGGGGTGCTTTACAACCTATTTGGGGAAAAATAGGGACATCATAGTTGAAATGATGAGCCAGGAAAACTGAGAGCACTCTAGGTGTTTCAAACGAAAGGAATTTAACATAGGGACACATCACCTAGGTGATGGGAAGCCAAACAGTAGCCAGTGAGACAACTGGAGTTTTGCAACAAGGAGAAACCCGTACCACTTCTACAGCTAGAGGGACAGAGGAGGCCCAGAGGCCAGAAGCCAGCCCTGCCCGGTGGGAGATGGTGCTACGGAGGAGGCTGGCCCCAAGGAGCTGGGGTCATCTAAGGAGGAGCTGGAGCCACACAAGACACGCATTTGCTGCCAGAAAACCAGAGAAAGCTGAGAGAAAGGATGGAAAACACCCTGTCCTCTCCCCTCTTCCTGCCCCCCAGCCCTGCGAGTGCCTCCCATTGGCTACACCTCCCCAGAAGCCAGAAGATTAAGAAAAAAAAAAACTATGATGAAGGATAGAGGGAGATCACGAGGACCTAGAAGATTGGAGACACCTCATTAAGGTAGGATCTGAGGACAGCATGAAGCTTAGATGAGCAAGAGTGGACAGCTGAGTACTATTAAAAGATGTCTAAGGTATGAAAGAGTGAAAAGAATGATCACTTAACATCTTTGATATTGGATTCTCCTCATCACTGAGAGGCAGGCATTAGCTCTATTGTTAAATGATGCTAAGTAACATGTCTGTTATTTTCCATCTCCCCTGCCCAGACCCATTCTCAGCCCTTTTCTATGCCCTGGGAGGCTGACCCCTACAGATTTCATCTCCTGGGCTTCCTTGTCAGCCGATTTCCAGTTATGTTTCACTAACTGGAGGCTCTGGCTGGAGATAACAGGTTGAGAGGAGAGAGAAGTCAGGGTGTTTCTTCCCCAGTCCCTGAGGGGAAGTAGCTGCATTCCTCATGCCTGTGGCCGCTCTTCCTGGTTCCAACTCTCACTCTGGAACACGACTTCCTCTGCCCAGCCCTAAGGACGGAATTCCATGCGCTTGACCATGAAACTACACTGACTCCCTTCCTCCCTCGAGGTACATCTCCTCAATAAGGGTTAGCTCTTAATGTTGCTGATGTTGTCATTATTATTAAATCAAGTGAGTAAGATTGCAAGTCAAGGATTTGGTGTTATTCAGAGAGCTTTAAAGACGTGGTTAATAGAAAGTTAGACAAGGCTATCCTTCCAAACACAACCTGAGCGCCAGCTCTCAGTCTTATCTCCTCCCTTCCTTTTCAAGTCTCTTCCTTACATTGCAGAGGAGCTGGGAGGGAGTTGAAGGGGGCAGGGGAAAAGCAAAGAAAAAAGGGAGGGGTAGAAACCTAACTGTTTCTTAGGTTAAAAACCTGGCAACCTTTAGACACAAAAGTGTCTAAAGCCTATTTTTTAAAAAACAAACCCAACTCAAGTGCTCTTTTAGGGCCAGTGGAATAATTTTTTAATGCCTACACTTGCTACATGAAAATTACTGGGAGAAAAAGAAGGTGTTTCTCCAAACAGCTTTTTAAAGAGATATGGACCATCTATATCTTCCATCTTCCAAACACCCTTTTTATATCTAAGGAGGCAAACATATATTTATTACTCATGCTCTGACTTATTTCAGAAAGTATGCAAGCAAGCTTTCACAGATCCCCATAATTCTGTGAGAAAATGTGAGGCAACAGGAAATTAAGGGTAGCAGACACATTCGTTTGGTTCAGGTAAATGTACAGTGCGACAGTGATGGTTCCTAGTGTTCTCTGTCTCACTTTAAAGCTCTGTGGTGTCGTGTGATCAATGTGAACAGAACCTGTTTGCCCTGTTTTATAGCACTCAGCCCTTTACGTCAGTGTTTTCTGTTATCATTACAGAATGTTCACTGTGGTAGAGTATCAATTATGTACCTTTATCTTTGCTTTTACAATCTATTTGGGGCATTATTCATGATTTAGTCAGTACTCAGTCACTGGTTATGAATATTATTTTGGGGGATAAAACTCATTGCCCAGCCCGACTGACATAG